AGCACAGCAACAATTCTTAGATCAGGGGGAGAGGGAGAGGGAGAGAGAGGTCACAGTCAATCACACATATTATCACGTTATATCATCATAAGAAGTTATTGTAAGTTCTTTATCAGATCTATTCAGTCTTCCAGATAGTGTAGGGTAACATTGGACTACTGGGCACGCCACTCATTGTGTAAAAATATGTAACAGGATGTTACCTCTTTAGTAAATATGACTTAACTTTTACGGTCAGATGTTAGTGGTATTTAAAAAAAAAAAGAAAAAAGGTTGTAACACTTTACGCAACCATTTTTTTTATAATTGAGCCTCCTAAATAATCCTAGACGAGGAGAAGCAGGTTTGAGGTCTATCTATATCTGCAAGCATGCTGAGTTTTCTTCTAACAACACTGTGAGTCTGACTCCAGGTTATGAAGTGGTTCTCCTCTTAATGCTCCTCAGCTGAAGCTGCTGCATCTCAACAAGAAAACCCAACCAGAACCTCAAGGCTGCGAATAGAAAGAATAGTCCTGCTGGTTCTGGGCTTCCTGCTGGCTGCTGCTCTCATTGTCATCTACAGACTCGGTGATTCTATCCTCCTGATGTTTTTGTTTTCTCAAAATAGTTTGATGATGTCAGAAAGAAAAATACAGAGGATGAGATGTAGATCATGATGAAGCTTTTTATTTAACTCTATTATCTGCTGTTCTTTCTTCCTAACAGCTTTCCAGATGATACAAACAAATCAAGCGGTCCAAACTCTGAAAGAGGAGAATGAAGTTCTGAGGAGAAACGTCTCAGGTGAGATTTTGAGATTTGGAAGGTTCACCATTAAGAAAATGTTATCGTAGACAGCTACATAGACTGGATCTGGCTCACTTAAAGGGTACTTCTTGTTACAAAGGAGATTATCCTCTCCACTGTTGCCTGATTCAAATAATTGCATGGCCTCCTTAGCAGCCTTCAAGTGCTGCAGAAGTCCGTCTCATTAATTAGCATAAGCCAGGTGTGTGGCAGTGAGGAGAAATCTAAAACATGCAGAGCAGTGGTGCACGAGGACCAGGATTGAGAACCACTGTCTTAGATGACTTCTCCTCAGTTAAAATCATATCATGATCTGTTAGGATATCTTCTAATTTATCTAGAGATGAGTCAGACTGTAACTGGATTCGACTTGAACCATTTTATTGAACTTCACTGATTCCATAAAAAGCAGAGTTTATATCTATGGAGTTGACTGAATTACACCAGTTTTTCTTGTAAAGTACCTTTGAATTATATTTGTTGTAATTTATAATTATTGCATTATAAATAAACCACATTTGATTAATATCATTTAATTTTAAAATTGGACTTGCAGGTTTTTGAAGATAATAAAATTTAAGGGTGCATTGTTCTTCATATACAGCCGTGATACCCTGGACAAGGTCATTAAATAAGAGGAAGTCCAGTATTTCGTACGTTTTTGGACGTTTTTCCTCAAAAAACCACATCAGTGCGCATGCGCTGGCAGACAGAAAAAAAAGCAGATCCGCGGACGAACGTAAAAATGGGAAAAACAGTGCAATCATCACTTATTCATGTCTCTAACTAC